ACCTCTAGGCGGGTTGCAGGAGTGCCATTGCTGATTCAGCTTAGGGTGTGCAGTGTCCAAGCCAAGGAGCATGCCTGATCAACCGCAAATGCAGTCCTGCCTCACTCCCTCAGATCGCAGGGACTGCGGAATACCAGTTAGAAGATTGCCTGTCAATGCCACCATGGTTAGGCCGCTGAATAAGCCACTACCAGGTAGCCGCTAGCGATCACTAAGTATAGACCGCTTCGTGTGCTGGTTAGTATGTCTGTCCGCACTGTTTATGGCGTAAGATTCGGATCATGTGGTAGCTAGGATCTCCTCCTTAGACAGGTATCACAAGTTGCCCATTGGACGGTTTCAGTTTGGAGACCAATCATCGAGGTTTCCTTCAGATGGGCATCAAGACAGCACAGTAGGTGGTGTTCGACCACCTTCATCTTATTGTCTGTCGATTATGCTCGGAGCTTTCAAGCGGTGTCCCATCGGCTAACGTCCTATGACCATTAATAGTGTCAACGACACAAAAACAGCGTTCTTAGCCTCACTAACTTGAAAGTAATGCATGCGATTTGGAAAATGTGTCACGCTAAAGCTTGGTACAATGCGCTAACATGCGCGTAAAATGGTATAGAATGGCCACTTGACCTACTGACCTGTAACACTTATCCAATGATTCGTGTTATTTCTTGCAATCTTCAGCATACTTTCCATAAAAATGTAAGTCAATTGTGTACCGATTCACCTGGCCTGAAGAAGTTCTTTTGTCAAGAGCAAAACGTTTCCACAATAAAACCTACAAAAAACCGATTTGTATTCAAAAGCTTCTGAAATCGCCTCATCCATGTCAAGGATTTATCTCCAAAAATATACCCATAAAATTGTTATAATACAAGGTTGCGAAGAACGTAATTAGAAATAATTACCTCCCGTGACGCCAAACGTCATGCAATATATCTGCACTCCTTTCGACCCGCCAACGCAAACTAATCCCGGACAAACTCAAGGCGGCTCAGGCGTAAGTTGAGTACACGCTCGAACTCGCCAGTTCAAGAGTCCATGGTCATCAGTACTACGCATAACACCAAAGAAATCCAGCGATTGATGTCTCTGTAGTGACTACAGGGCACTAAACAAACTGACCATTCTGTATAAGTACCCGATCGCTCACAAGCACTACTTGAACTTCAGATTTAGCTGCTGAGTCAATCCTTAACAAAACAGGACTAATGCGTGCCTACCAACAAATAGCTGAGGCACTAGACGATATTTCTGAAACAGCAATTATTAAACCGTTCGGTTTTTTCGACTACCTCAGAATGCCTTTCGCGTTTAGCAACGCTGTCCACTTTTCGGTGTTTCACGCACGAGGTAAGATGTGGACTTCTAGGTGTTTATAAGTATTTAAATGGTAAACTCATCGCTAGCCAATCTGACGAGAAACACCTTCGTCAACTTGACGCTCTTTTCAAACGATTGACGCAAGACAGAGTTACTGTCAACCCCGACAAATTTGAACTTGTATAAAGCAATATCGAATTCCTTGGCCATAACACATCTGCTGGTACTGGGGCTCTACCAGACAAAATCCAGGCGCTGAAGTACCCTACTCTCAGCCTCTACAAACAGCTTCGTTGATCCTTTGGCCTAGTCAGCTATTACCGACGCTATATTCCTAACTGCACGAGCATTGTGGATCCAATGACTGGCTTGCTCCGCGGTATGAAACGCGCTACCCAATCCCCAAACGACGCTCAAATGGTTTCCGAGAAGCACAAAGAGCCTAGCTCTAACAAAACGCTCCTCGGCAATCCAAATCCAACTATACAACTCTCGCTCACAACTGATACATCAGACACCGCCATCGGTGCAGTTCTCCAACACTTCATCGACCAATGCTGGTTACCTCTAGAGATCATTTTGAAACGTTTGCAGCCCGCCGAATCGCGTTACATGGTCTTCGGTAGGGAACAACTTGCGATCTAACTAGGTATCTGACATTTTCGTTGCTATCTCAAAGGTTGAAACTTTTCACCGATCACAAGTCACTAGTCAACGTAATCAATGGCGAAACAGATAAATATTCTACGCAAGAAAGTGGAAACCTGGACTACGTCTCTCAGTTCAAGACATGTAGGAAATGCTTCAGGCGTGCTTAGTCACGTCGTAGACGCTCTTTCATGAATCCATCAGATCAGCTTAGTACTGAGAACCAACATAGATCTAGCGAACAGATAGATTTCGGCATAGACATGGTCCGACGCAATCCCTCAATGAAAGTAAGCAAGGTTACACTAACTTCAGCGGGGGGAAATGTACTTTGTGACGTCTCACTAATTGCTTCCCGCCTCGTAGTTCCCACAACAATGCACCGACTTGTTCTTATACGCTACACATTCTGTCTAACCCCGGCATACGTGGTTCGCAGAAATTCGTAACGGAACACTTCGTTTGGCCCAACGTTAACCGCCATGTCCGTATTGGGGTCCGCGAATTTCTTCACTGGCAGCGCGTCAAAGCGTTCAGATACAGTAGAATCCCACGCGGAGCCTTTCTTGTTCCTGACTCTCGTTTTGAACACGTTCATGTCGCCGTTGTCGGACCTTAGTCACCATGCAGAGGTTACGCGTACCTCCTCACCATTGTCGACAGATTCCCACGTTGGCCAGCAACGACTTTTGTTACTGAGTGCGCATCTGAGACAGTCGCAGGTGCTCCCTTGGAACACTGCGTGGTTCAATTTGGCTACCTTACTGTAGTCATTACCGATCGAGGAGCACACTTCGACGGATACTTCAGCAAACTGCTCAAGATACCTGGTTGTGAGCACAAACGAAGCACCCTGCAGCCCACTAGAATGGTTCCACCGATAACTCGAAGCATCATTTTGCGTATCCTGGCACAAAGCACCTCCGCTAGTTCTCTTAGGCATAAGGAACACGATTAAAGCGGATTTGCACGCCACTCCTTCTCCACCAGTAGTTGGCTGCACAGAGCGCTTACCTGGTGACCTTATCTCACAAAAGCCCCAACAACTTTCAACTATGGCGATTACTCAGTCCGCCTATCTCATCACATGCGACAGCTTCAGCCTGTACTACCTGGAGCACGTAGCTTGCGTACAAACGTGGACGAACGCCTTGCCACTTGCACTCACGTACTCGTTCGCACCGTCAACGTACGCTGTCCATTCCAACCTCCTTGTTCTGTCCCGTACCGCGTAGTACGGAGAACCGACAAGATATTTATTATTGACTGTAATGGTAAAATTGCCACCGCGAATATTGATCGACTCAAATCCGAATTTCTGCATGACCAACTCTGTGGTGCATAAACACCTTCTCAGCCAGTGCCACAACCCCAGACAAGTCACTCTGCCCCAGCAGAACCTACAGTGACAGCTGAACTCACTGTTACTCGACCCGTTAGCAACTGACATGGTAGATAAGTCAAATACCCAGTTCATTTTTCAGATTTTGTCAGCGTTTGTTACTTTCTGTAGAGCATGCTTATCATATATTGATATCCCGTTTTCATGTTCCTAGTAATGTTTTTTCAAAATTCAAGACAGAAGATTAAAACGTTTGGAAATTATCAAAAAGAACAAAGGCTTTTGATAACCTAGAATGTCTCACGTTTTTGGTAGTACATCCTTTTGTGTATAGCGGTGGGTTTAAGTTGCGCTTTTCCGCTTTGCTTTCAATGTGCTTAACCTTGATTCGCCGCCTTTTCGCTGGACCCTACACAACAACTCGGAGCCTGACGAACGTCTCGCTCAGGCAGCTACTCGGACGTCTGCGAACTGTCCCCCACCACAAACTTTTTTTTACCGTTTCGACGTCGTAGAGAGGACACCGGTGGGAGTCTGCTAGGATCCCATCGCATCAGGTGCAGTTCATACCGCTACAAGGCCCATTGGATCGGTGTGGCAGCATGGTCCCGCAGACGGCTGGCTGACGATGGACAGTCCTCACCCAGATCGAAGAACTGCTTACATGGTTCTTACTGAGGGAGAGCCAGAAGATCTCCCTGCTCGCCTGAGTTCGTTGTGTAAAACACCAACTAAAATTCCTATTTCACTGTACACTTAGGCGATCGGTGCTGAATGTTGAGTCCGGTTGTTTGAATCGAATACCATCTTCGTCTGGCGCTTGTTCTGGTTCGTGACGTGCGACCGCATCGTGTGCTGCAAACTTTTGGTTCCCCTAGCTAGTAATACACATTGGTCGTTTTCAAAACTACGACAAGAGGATATTTTACTGTACAAAATAAAAGCTTTCCTGCATTCGATCTGCCTTCCGGAACCTCTATCTGGGCTACAGCTAAAATTGTTGATATTAAATAAAATTGTTGATAAAATTGTTGATATTAGGCCCATTGAAAACAAGTCTTTTCAACGGTCCGTGGGAATGCGGAATTAACGAAATACGACAGGCAATGAAGTATGAATGAAGACAACTAGTGACATTAAGCCCAGGAATTTCCGGATCCTCTATCAGTTCTAAGCTTATTTAAAGGTAGTAGTGGTACCAGAAGTTGAACTAACAACCCAGTTCTCCAACATTCACTAGGAAGCTTGATTTGGTAAACAAATATGACTTAATTGAATGGAAAAAACCCATTGATCGATCAGAAGTCTGTGTAAGCGAACATATGTTTTCGGCAATTCTTCATCAGGCTTGTACAATTACATGAAATCACTCCGTTACGCGCACAAATGTAACCATTTCTTGAATACACAACAAACACTTGAAAAGTGTATGCAAGGCGTTGATACTGCTGCCGTTGCGTGGCAAACCAATGCAACTTCGTGGATCATATCATATTCAATCGTTCATAGTGAGGACGTGCGCCTTGACCAGACATTTTGACCGCTGAATAAAAAGTGTTGATCCTATTTTGTTTTTAAATAAATAACGCAAGACGGGAAGTAAACACAAGCTGTACAAGGTAATGGTTGCATGTACAATGATCAGTGAACAAGGAATAAGCCACTGGTTAGACAAACCTCAACCCCGTTATCAAAACATAGACATGTCAAGTTGAGAGTAGTGGTTTAACATTTGCTGAGCAGTATCGAGCAGACGCCAAACACGCTTCGGCATATCAGAGACATGGGGAGGAGGAAGCTTGTAGAGTGTTATACGGAGTAGGTCGGGAATCCACTTGGTTTGAAGCAGCCGAAAACGGTTGTGCGGCGCAACAGAAAACAGGGCTTGAGTTAACCAGTAGAGAAGCCTTCCACTTGGAAACATTACCCACGCAGGCCAGAAGGATAGCCTCAGAGTGCGACTGGGAGGAGTAGTGGAAGCCGGGGCAACGCGCTCCGATAAGTGTGTACAGAATATGTCGAGCAAATTGGTCAACTGCTTAAGCTCCAAATACACCAATTGAAGCTCATTGAACTGATGTACAATTTCGATGGAGTAACGATGAAGACCGGCAGAAAGACACTCCCGTTTAGCATCAGTCGCTAATCGAACATATTCTTCGCACAGTTCAGCCAAGGCGCGATCTGCGTTACCATATGGATGCTCACGGAGGTAATCAAAGTAAATACCACTCACCAGGGCGCAAGCGACGAAGGATAACACAACGGGATTTTCGACAAAGAGACACTGGGTAACCTCTGAGAAAGACGAAAATTTCAGCCATAGAACAAGAATGGAAGCAATCCCAACTGCGTAAGTTGAGTCACAGGAAATGCAGCGTAAATCAATGAATAAATATTGTCGAAAAAACTGCTCGAACGATTGAAGTGCCGTCCTACAACGGGGGATAGTGGAAGCAGGTAACGGCATGGGGAACGTACACATTCGTGAGCCATTACGACGGTTTTCCACCGGGCTCCCGTTTGTTAGCCAGCGGAGATTCTGAGAGCAATCAAGGCTATTTTCAAGTTCGATAAATAGCTGGTACTCCAGTAAGCGCATTCGCTCACTGACTTTGTAAATGGAAGTTTCGTGATTCAAGTTCTCGTACAAAATGCGAAGCACCGTCCCACCGCGCACGTAAAGGGCATCAAGCAATGAAGTGGAAATCTGGCTATTGCGAAAACTGCGGACTAGTTTCGTTGGCCAGAGACGGCAAAAGTCTGCATCCGCGTCACGCCCACCTGTCCCCCCACATGATAATACCCTTGCGACGACGGAAACCGCTTCCTCTACGGTAGTGACCGAGATAGAGCTAAGGTCAACATGAAGATTGCTTGGGAGTGGGGTAGGGACAAATGCGAGAACCGATGGGAGGCCTAACGCCGCAGAAAGTTCTGAGCCACCTGTGGTTGGATCGAGGAAGTAACCCTGAACGCAATGTGCAATTTGTTTTGTGAGTTGATCTAGGTTGGAAGTCGAGTATCCGGAGAAAATCTCGTACAAGGGGCTAGAAACGTCATTCGAGAAACGACTTAGCCACTGAAGCATAGCACCCACACGTTTCGCGCTGTAGCACGAATTTTTGGAAGCTCTCACCAAATTGTTCACACTGTCTGGAATTCGAATACACGAAATCACGTCGTTTCCCAATAGAACAGCTAAAAGGGGGATTAAAGAGGGTGATACTGTACTGAGAGAGGAGCGTGTCGGGCGATAAACTGTACATGATAACCCATAGCAACGTGTGGAGGAGGAAGCACACTCCGAGCAATTATTCGGCAACCGTTCACATTCAGAACTCAAGGAGGTTAGTGAAATCACACGATAACGTGAAGGATATGGTGACTGAAAGATATAAAAGTCAGAGTCGTTGCTTAGAAGCGGACAATCGAGGAAGACAGCGAGTTCAGCTATTCGCGTATCGGCTTCCCGGATGCAACAGATATGCGGGATACCAAACTCATCGAGTAAATCCAATGCAACCTGATTTGTAAGTTTTGGTAGCAGATCCACACCGCAATCCACACAGTCTGTGTCAGGAGTTAGTTGGGCCAGGTGGATGAAATTGTTCAGAGCGGGAATACGCTCCATATTCCGCCTCAGCAAAGTCTCTCTTTTGGTGCCCTGAAAACGTAATGTAATCAAAAGAGCGCGCAAATTGAGACATGTATGCTCACATGGAATGTGCAATTATAAGGAAAAAAATCGGTAAATCAGTGCCTTTACCTTTTCAAAGCAATAAAAAATTTACTCCAGAGGGAACCGTAGACTTATAAGATGTAGAAGTCTGCTCAATTTGTGAGTATGGAGGCTTGAAATCACATAGGCGATCGTTTTAAAAGAGCAGAAAAGCAAGTATAATGGCATGAGAGGGGAATGGGAAAAGGAAGAATAACAGTCATGTGGGCGTTTACTGGAGCATTGTGCTTCTGGACCGGCAATTTCCGGTTGATGCGTGCTCCTCATAGCCGATGCTAAACTGGGTCCAGAGCCGGTTTTTCCTGACAACTGCAGGGAAGCACAACTGCTACATTAATGAATCTGCCAATGGATGCTCATGAAAATGACCATCGAGTTCTCTACCAGTCTCGGAGTCGCAAATAAAGCGACAGATCACCAACTGGTCTTGTGGGATCAGTCAGATTAATCATTCTCAGCAACAACAGTCATCACTAAGTTGGACTGATGTCTCGGTACCACACAATCACGATGACCTACAGAATAAGGAATATCAAGAGAACATAGAGTAAAAATCAAAATGCTCCAACACTCAGGGGCAAGGCAGCTGCATCTAATCAAGAATGAACGGTCACAAACAGCTGGCAATCTCGAGAAGGCGGTACCAACGAGCCAGCCTCCATGCAGTTTGCCCTACAGATAATACAGCATCAGGCACACTTTAACCAAGTAATCTGACTAGAAAACGGGAGAAAACGCATCCAAGTTGCCAGCCATGAGTAACGCCTTGGGTTGCGTGGACTCCAGGCTAGAGAAGAGATGGGCCGATAACACCCACTTTAGTGGTTAGTCTCCATTTTCAGTCAACGAAGCAACCTTCACCTGCCACAAGCCCTGCGCCATTCCACATTCAATGAACAAAGTAAAGCCCCTCTCCGCCACCGATGGCCGGGCATGTGCCCAAGTCAACGCAACTTATTGAACGTGATTTTTGTTGTTGTAAAGGAGCAGCCTATCAATATCAGGTACTCGCCTGCACACATCACCGGCACGGACACGATGGTGCCGTCCGACACCTGCAAGGCACTGTAGAGAAAGATGGTCAAGGGCTTAGATGCATTTGATCCGTAGATCGAAGTGGACAAGTCTGAATGCCATCGAGCAGGATAGCCATTAGCGTGACCTAGCGCACACGGCGTTTCAAATCGAGCGGAATCCGCTTCTGACACTACAAATGTTTCAAGTCTATGAATGCGGTCATAGCTTTCGAAATAGGTGAACTCACGTTAAAGTCCTGTGCATATTGATGTCAACGCAGCTGCCAAGGCAGGTGAGTTGGTCAGCCGCTTTTATCTCCTCGTCAACAAGACTCAACGGGCATCAAGTGCCTAAGGGTCCTGAAACAGCACTTTGCAATCTGAAGGTAATTGAAGGCAGACTAGGATACCCAAGAGAGCAAAACAGCAAGTCAATGTCGCACACATAAGATTAACCAAATTTTTACCAGGTAGCACCTGGACGGGATTTCCCAAAGGAACATTCTATGATGGAAGCCAAGAAATACTTGAACAGAAAGGGGAGGTCGGATAGCACTGGCGAACGCCATCTGCAGGAATGGTGTTCGATCACTGGCCGCAGATCCTGGCGAAACTTGGGGTAACTGAGTGCGGAGCGAGTAAAATATTAGTTACTGGTACCACGTAGTCCGGGATATATAAAAACCACAAAATCAGGATCCGGTTCGAGGAGATCAAAATAATAATGACAAGTTTTCAAATACCATGCACAACCTCTGCCGATCCACTTAACTGCGCAGAATACGGGTTGCTAGGATCTAATAAACCCGAGCTTGGTAGCGGCTGGCTAATGGAACATGACAAAAATAGGCATAGAATAAGCGAGAGGGAGTGGTCGTAAACACCAACGGTGCAAAATCTGCGACCTGCTTATTAGACACGTCTGATTCTAGTCCAGATGGGAAGGGACAGATCACTGCTAAGGGTACAACAACGTGGTGGACAACTTTTCGCTGCTGCAATGGACAACAATAAAAGCGTATCGTTTTTAAACAAACACTATGGCAAAGCGGAACTCGAGAAGCCGTGATCGAAGGGCACACGGTTCAAGTGAGGCAGAAGGATCATGGGTACTCGGCAATGGGTCATAAAAAAACTAGGGATTGAAGACAATACAGCGGTCCATGAACAGACGTGTACTGCGCGGGAGGGCAACGGGGTAAGTGCCATGTAAAATTGGCGCCTGAGATCCTCATTCGCAGAATAAATAATGTGTCAGATGTACGCCGTAAGGGCGCTTCGCCGCCGCGCGACCATCACCAGTCGCGCGTAGAGTGGGTATACCGCGACGACTCTCGCTCCTACGCGGATTTAAACCGCTGACTTTATGATTGCAAGCCAGGCATGCAGACCACTCAACCACCGACCGGCATTCGCAGAGATGCAATAAGAATGGTTTAAGTAGAAGATCTGGCAACTTTACTTCTGATCAATAGCAGCGATAGCGACAGACCCATAGACAATATAATCAAGCCAAAATAATCATAAAAACACTAACATTTTCTTCATGGCATCCATCGAAGATGAAAATAGGCCTGATACGACACTTTTGTAGCTGCCTCAAAAATATCCGCATGGAAACCAGAAAATCCATTTGCTCTCCACCATAATAAGTTAACAGACCAGACGTGCGATAACGATGGTTCACAAAGTTTTCCGCGTCAATCACCAAAGTAGTGTTGTGCAATCGAAGCGGCATGAAGTTTTCAGGACATTGCGCAATGTAGCTGTGCAGCCCACGTACGCCCATCACACAATCGTTAACGAGGAAGAATTATTCTGAGGAGGAACGCGTGTGGTCTAGTCTGAAAGGAAGAGCAGAAGCTGTCATGAGAATAAAGCTCACGTGGTCCCAACCCAACAGATCCTGCGGAGATGCAGTTCACAATGATTTGATGGCGGTTCATAAAACAAACAAAACCATTTGCGATGGCTTAAAGATAACCCAGCCACTTCCCTTATATCTTTTAACATCGTTCCTTGTAGGTTCAGTCAATGAGTGACTATGAAGAAATGCGAGTTCAAACTGTACGGGCTAATATATCAAGATGCGATGTTGAAGACGAAACGAGATCATCCAGCGTCAAAACGGAGAGGTGGTGACTAACACACTGCCTTATACGTAGTGGACATCTAAGCTACCGCAATGCAAGTGGGTGTAACACCTAGAAGGGTGACCCGAGTACATAGGTGAACATGGAGTGTCGCATCCACAGTTAATGCTCTGATTTACCTTTATTCTTCAGCCTCAGGATAAAAATTGTCATGAATGACTGAATCATTGTTGCATGCCAAGAGAAAGCTCCGTATGATCACTAACCGACGAATAAAATCCTGCGGATTATAGGACTCCACTGGAACATCGTACCGACGCTTCGCTGCCACGCAACCATTCAGTCGCGCGTGGATCGAATATACTGGAGGTCGTGTGCACCTACGCGGATTCTAACCGGTGACCTAGGGGTTACAAACTTCTGCATCTGGTCTAAAGAGGTTGCTACTCGCCTTTTCTCCTCCAGACCAATGTTAGAGTACGGCTCGCCCACCTACTGCTGACCAGTCAAGACGAGACGCAGAAGACAAAACGGGTTAAACACGTTGCTACTAGGATCATTCTCAATTTGCGGGAATTACCGTACGAGAACAGATGCGAGATGCTGGGACTATACACCCTGGCCTATCGTCCGCTGCGAATCGAGCTCACCATGACCTATCGCACTCTACATCTAATTGACTTCCCCAAGCTAAAGCCATTGCTCCACATGTGAACACACTGAAGGATATGCGGGCACAAGTACAAGCTTGCAGTTCCAGATTTGAAGCGAATTCCCCACTTCCTGTATGTGGAACAGCAAATGGTAAATGTTTGGAACAGTTTGCCGGAGCATGTAATGGAAGCAAACTCAATGCAACAGTTCAAACGTTTGTTAAATGTGCATTCCTCAAATGATAGACTCCGAGAACGATATCCACGGACAACTCACATTTTTCAGTCCCAAGTTACCGTTTTTATGATATCGTGCCAGGTGTAAAACGATCAGAGTATTAACGAGTGATAGATAGTTTGCTTTTTTAATGTTTTCGATAACATTTCGGTGTAATTGTACAGATGCGAATTTCTAACTGCTCACACAATAAAGTATATACACTAGACGTGTAATCCTTCCGGCCACCGAGCGATTCTCGCGATGAATAAGAAAATCAATGGCGGTAACAGGGAAGGGGAAAAGAAAAAAGGAAGGCATCAGCAGTACGTCGGTACGCAGTATGAACGCTTCGCTGCCGCGCAATCACCACCAGTCGCACGTGGGCTATGGATACTGCGAAGATCGCTCTGCCCCCACCCAAGCTCGGACCCGCGCCGTCAGATTACAAAACAAGCTCGTTACCTCTGGACTACGGGCCGGCAACAAAGAACAGGAGATTCGCCGAGAAAAGAAAACACAGGAAGAAAAGCATCACCAAGGAAACCGAGGAATTGGAAAAAAGACGACAGGATTGGTGCGTATAATGTACAAAATGAACTGAGCACAGCGTACAAGGCTACTGTCGCCAAACCACATCAACTTCATCTGTTCGAAAGCGCTGTGTTACGGTGGATTCTTTCAATGGTGTTGTCAATCCGCATTGGTACATGAGACAGCCAGTGTAGGCAATCATTGCTCCGTTGTCTATGCAAAACCGCTCATCGGTGGCATGCAGCGTGGCCCCACGTTCCTCGGCCATTTTGCGCATCATCTCCTGCAGACGAGAATTACAACCGACACCGCCAACGATGAGGACCTCCTATTAGGAGAGGGAAAGGAAATAACGACAATGAAATGAACGATAAGTCAGGTGGATAAGCAAGGAAGCTCAAAATTGGTCAGCCTGTGATTTGCAACTGCATGTGAATGCGCCTGAGAAAGGAGTGTGGGTGACCAGCGCTGCAAAAGTCGTCTCGCAGCCACGTGACCAGCATCCAGTTTGAACTCGAATGAAAAAGACGGGAGTCATGGTAGTGGAGACGATGTGACAGGTTACGCTTTCAGACAAATCAGAAAATCCTATAGTCTCCACCAATAGCTCGAGTTAGCTGTTTAGCCCCAAGCCAAATGACTAAATCAAGAACCCGGATGTGATTTTCGTGCTGGCATAAACCGGAGTTGAATAGATGCACGAGGTTAATAAAATTCACACGATAGTATTACTGATGGGAACCATTCCTCCTTTGAATCAGAGACGAAGAAGACTCAGAAGTAAGCTTAACATGCTATCTGGTAAATGGAAAAGTAATATCCCTATCTGCGAAGACACTTAGCCATTGTGCTCACTCTGAGATGAGAACGGCGAGTAAAGAACGGTGAACACGGAAGGCAAACAGATGGAGCCCTGCACAGCTACATGTGAGCAGCATAAAGCAAAAAGAGGATTGGCCAATTGCAAAAGATGCCCATCGAATAGAATCCGGTAAAAGAGCTACTAACTACACAACAGTGACAACTCACAGGGTCTCGAAATACTGATGGTACTCACAAGTTAGCGTGGCTCAGAAGCGGATAGCGGGCGCTGCAATTGGGTGTTTTGCAACCTTAATCTTCTCAAAATGACTTGCACATAAAAGCCGAAAAGATAAAGCGGCTAATATCGCTTTGAACAGATAGTGGAGGTACTCGCAGTTAGCATTCAAAGAGTTTTTAATCGACAGTTCTCTAGGGGTGTGCGGATTTTGAGGAACATCAGGTTGTGGTCCTGGAGAATGCTGAAAAATTATGGGTTATTATAGGTATTAGGGTAGGATCAACCTAAATCCAGGGTCCGGATAACCCAAATCCAGACGGTGTGAAGGAACTACGTTCGAACTTTGTAACTGCAAAAGGAAGAGAACAACTAGTATGTCCCAAGTGAAGTGCGCCATTGACTACGGGTTAGTGTGTACAGATTCAGAGTCTTTTCATAAACCCATAAAACATGTGTCTAATTTGCACAACGGAATATTGTCCTCGTCGTTTGGCCCACAAACAAATGCAACATTTGTGAAGCTTTCACTTCCTATAATAAAATCATGCAAAGATTTTTCAACGGTCGACCGTAGTCAGTGCTTTTAGCACTCACCTCCTTGCTTGAGGTATTTAGTCCGATTTGGTGTTCGCATTCGCCAACACGGTCTACTCGCCCAGTCTATGTGAAATTATCTAACTCGGGCCACCCAAAAACCACAATAATAACATATTTTTTCCCTAGCCCAGTAGCATCCTCAGATTTACGATTGATTTCGGAGACTGCCTATTTCCCCTCATCTTCACTCCTCACATGTACCACATGTACCTATCTTATCAGGGACTAATTCCCATCAGTATGCCTTTTTAACTTCTCTGAACACAAAGTAACCATCCACTGCTTAATTACGTTGCCACTGGTTATCACCGCAACACACAATGGCAAACGGTTTTGCCGAATATACACCGTGCTATTCCTGACTCTCTGCTGGAATGCCAAATTGCATCGCTACGTCACCGTAACCGATTCGCACGTTGTTCTTTGGCCCATAGAAAGGCTTCTATGCTCATCACAGTGGCACCGGAATCGGAGACGATGACATTTAGACCTTGCAGAACAAACGTCATAAATGTTAGGAGCACACTAATGCTTAGAAATGATACTTCGCTGCAGTACGGAAGAGATAAAGACCTCGCGGCGAGGAAACATGATGAGTGACGGAGTTTAATCTAAAGACCTAAGGTCCTAAACAAACTACTGCAAGCACGACACCTGCATCGCGCAAAAACTGTGCGGGCACAACAAGGAGGACATCTTACGAAGATAGAACGGCACTGATGAGATGGATTCCATGCGGCTTTCACTACCAGACATCATAATCAGATCCACTCACAACTTAATCAGGCATTCGGGGGAGAACGGTAAGCACGTCACTAGTGTCGGATGCAAGTGATACCTTCGAATACGCCAGGCCAGGCAGAGGGTGGACCCTGGTTTGGAACAAGAGAGAGACTAAAACAGTACCCAGCCTAATAAGTAAAGAATTAATTTCTCGTTGAAGATGAGCAATTGTACCCCTCGAACAGCATGTTAACCAACATTGGTTAGGTAGAGCGAACCTGTTTATATTCATCGACGAAGAAGTATATGGAGTACGTACTCTAACCACCACAAACTGTTTATTTTGCTTTGCAGTTAGAGGTATGCCAACATCACTTGACACAAGGAATAATCGTAAGAAATGACATTCAGTGAACTAAGGGTGTCGATGTCGACAGGAGAGAAGAACGACCCACATGGTAGCCTTGTGTGCAAGGTTACTTTTGATACAAGAAATGTCGTAAACTAACGAAGGAGACTAACAAGCACGAGGTTTTGTATGGAAGAGGACGTGAAAAAAGAAAAGCGGACCGCCAAGATAGCAATAGACAAGTTGACCACAAACTCAATATGCAACCAAAAGAATGGCACTTTCGAATAAGGAAGCAACATAGACGTGGTAAAAGTGAAATTAACCTTGGTATCACAATGTGCCATTGCACGCTCGGTAACCTCGACCACCATAGCGAATACGGTTTCTTGCAAACTGAAACAAAGATCCTCCACGGTGTATTCACCCGATCGCAACAAATCGGGCGCGCGCTGTTCCAGAAAAGAGAGTAGACCCGCAAATGAGACGTCCATCCCTTTGACACAGTACGGCAAATCAAAGAATTTCTGACCTCGCTGTGCCATCTGCTCGACGTTGTAACCAGGGCTTGGGTCGTTAGAAAGGTTGACAACACGTGCGAATCTTAAGGGGAAGGAAAGGCAATGTGCTAGTTAGCCTAAAGCGTGTAATGATGAAAGGAAGGGACAAGATGTTGCAAAACAGTGTGGTAAAAACTGTTAGCGGTGGGTGATTTGGTATCCGTGATTATGTGAGTGTTACGAAAAAAGACCGGCAAATTCGTACCTAGCAAGTTGTTCAACATGAGTGAGTTAGGGGGAAACAGTATAAACGACCTTCGTGTGGTTGCCATCCAAAAACTAGCGACCCGCGCGTGTTACCTGAACTTATCCGGTCTAAAAAGTAACGTGTACGAGGGAGGAGCGACTCAGTTGAAGTAGAAGCAATGTAAAGGCATTAGTTAATTGATAGCAACTCGCAATCCGCGGGAATAGAGTGACTATATAAGAACGCATTTTGGGACGTCAGATGCGAAGGCGTGCACAGCGCTACCAAACGTGGAGTAGCAGTATGACTGGATAAGAAGACTAGGGTGCACCTCAGTGGGGGGCGTTAAGAGCCCTTTTGATGATTGCGTGCAGGTGGAACTCCAACACCATGGTACTCACCATCAGAAGTACGGGGGTTATTTAGGCCACAATATCTAGTGCAGCTTGATATCCACAAATCAGGGTACTCTGTCCCTGATTCGCGCATCAGTGTGTGGGAAATACGCTCAGCTGGAAGAACACTGAAACTGACGACTGGACGACTGAAAAGCGTGTGATGAAGGGTTGAAGGAACGGAGAGACATTAATGACACGCCCTGGGTTCTCCAAGACAAACGCGAAAACAACAAGCGACGACAACCGTCGCCTTTGCAAACAGCCACGATGTGTCTAATACTGTAATGATTGGTCCTCTTTTGTTGAAGATTCAAGTGAAACATCTTGTGTAAATGGAGATGTGAGCGTGAGTTTCCACGCAAATGATCAATAATCGCTCTTACTGTCCACAGTGTAGTGACATGAAGTCTGAAACTCGAACATGAGTGGAAACACTGTCCCACTTGTGTGTGTAGCGCTATCAATGGAACCAAGCGGATAACATGCCAGGTTCAGGCAATTCAGATGGCATGAGTTCTGGCATGGCGTATACGTTGAATTCAAGACGGAAATTGGTACGTATCCGATAATGCCAGTAATGCAGTGAAAAAATGGCAAACAAAGCAAATAATACGGATGATTGCAACGAAGAGGATACAGGGCCAATCACCAAGTGCAGAGGTGTGTTGCAGGAGACGCCTAAGCTAATCTGTCGGCCCGTGATGGTCCATTAGTACGTGGTACACGTTGTACCTACAAAGGTAACCAGTAAGGATTACAATGGCTACATGTTGAAATGACCGATCAGCGCAGCTTTGCTGAGCTGCGTCTGATCGGACCCTCCAAACGGCTGCTGGTGCAGCATACCGATGTACGACTGTTATTGTCGATAAAGGCATTGGAGAGAACAATGACTTTATGCAGATGCATAGTTGAAACAAGTACAGTACACTCATATGCAGATAGCCAAAGAACACTCACCTGTCCAGGCAATTGCCCAACGCAATGTCAATCGTCTCGCCGAAAATACGATAACGGCCAGCTGAAAAAGCGATTACCTGTGTGTTGCCGCCGCTAGCGTATAGTACTATGGGCGATTTGGCACCTGTGATCAAACGCCCCATCTCTATGTGAGCGATGCAGTGGTTCACGCCGACGAGCGGTTTGTTCCACAACTGAGAGAGAGTGCGAGCCACCACAGCTACCACGAGCAACGGTGCACCCATACCAGGACCCTGTGAGGCATAACCGGAAAGAAACGACATCGCACAGATAAAACCCGGTGATTTGACCGCATACAAAGAGCAGTAAGAAATTGAGCGGACAAGTACAAACCCAGTCATCGAATCAGGATATTTCAAACGTGATGAAAAAGGAAGCGAGAAGACATAAACATGCCGAAAGGAAATATAGATCACAGCAAAATTGCACTGACTCACTTTAGTGAACGCTATTGCGTCCAATTCCTCCGGTTTTACATTCGCTTCTTTGAGCGCCCGACCCACCAAGGAAACAATGTGTGTTTGATGATGTCGGGCCGTTTCGGTGGGTTGGAAGCCTTCACCGGGTGGAGTTATATAGGTGACTCGGGGATTGGATAAAACCTGACCGTCACGGACTACACCGATACCCAATTTGTTGGCGCTACCCTCCATCCCAAGGACTGTCGGCATGGTATGATACCTGTATGCAGATCAAACAAGCACATATGCAAAAAAAGCCCGACAACAAGCCAATTTGTCAATCGTTCAAGTCGCAACAATTATCGCAAAAGATACCACAGAATTCTGTTCTGTGCGTCCAGCATCTAAGCAAGCAGGCAGAACAGATTAACAGAAAGATGCACGCGTGTATTTGGATACAGTATTTACACAGAAAAAAGTATGAGAATATGAAAGGAGCACTAAATTTGCCGTCGCTTTTTCCGCGGTTGGGACTCGCCTGCGCTACCGGGTGTTTCTGATTTCTCAGACGAGGGGTTCGGTGTCCCGGGTGGGGTGGAGAATGCAGGATCGCTGGATCGTAACCATTTTCTGGTACGTTTCTGCCCCGAAGAACGAACACCGTTATAATTCCCTGCAAAGAAGCGATAGATATTTGGAGAACAATGAAAATTCGAGTGTTCGAAAAGAGCACGTAAAACAGCGAATGCTCAAAGCAAACACAAACAAAGCAACAAGCCAATCTCGTCGTTTCAGCCGAAGAAGCGACGTACCGATAAACAACACACAACGGGACTACCGACTTTCAGACACGTGGAGCATATGACACCCAACAAATGCTATTCGAGCTCCACAGGCACTCTAATGAGGGGGTAGAAGGTTAATTGCCCACGTCCAAATATCAATAGTAATGGTTCGCTGAAGAATTCGGAGATATTGGTGGGCAAGTGCGGAGCGTCAGTTCTCGGATCCATAAAGTACCACAGACCGCACCATCGAACGTCTTTCTCGGAGCCACTGAGCATACATTCTGTGCCCTAAAAAAACTACTGAAGCATTGGAAAAGCACATGGGCCTTAGAAATGTGTGCAGTAACCTCATTGGTGGTGCAACAGACAGGGGTGATGCAGCTCTCTAAGTAAACAAGCTGATCGTTAACTTCAAGTGGTTGTTCGTGGATAGTGGGAATATGTTGTGTCGAGGCAGCCACGGGACAGTTGTTGTAAATCAAATATCGAAGCTTTACGCGTAGCATGGAAACGGGGTCCGACGGAAAGATGGCCAACCATCAGCGTATGCCATTTGATAATAGACAACCTGAAAGAACTATTGCCACAGAAAAAGTAAAAAAATACGAGAAAATTATCCATTAAGATATAGGAAAAACGTGGGGCAGTCAATTTATGGCGAAAGCATGAGATTCCCAAAGTTCGTTAAAGAACCCAGGGGTCGTAGCGTTGAGATACTACAAATGAGTCAGATATACAAATGAGTAGACGGATTTGGGTAGGATTGGATTTGGTTCATCGCCATTAGATTCCAAGCCGCATAGTAAGCTTGGAATCTAATTGCGATGAACCAAATCGAATCATACCCAAATCCATCTACTCATTAGTAATCAAAATCTACGCCCCACCCGTATTCAAAATTGCTGTGTGGATTCACAGCACTGACAAGAGAAGACCTGACCGTGACGGCCAACCACTGTCATCTGCATGGGCAATAACCTGCACGGCAGTGGTGGATGGATCGGGCTATATCGCAGTTAGGTTTCAAATCGTAATGGTCGGCTGTCATCCTCCATGGCTCAGTGGCATAAGCTGCTGGCTAGTTGGCGTTAGCCTTTAGTGCTCATGGGTACGATCCCCAGTAGGGGAGCGAAGGATGTGCACCACTGACGGCCCCAATAGGGCGAAACGCGCGGCTGGTGCTTCTCCGGATTGGTAGCTTACCTATGTTGCTTGGAATCAAATTGCAATGAACGAAATAGAATCAGATATCTCCTGTAACCTACTTAAAGGCAGATACCGCCACGAATGTGTGACCAACAGAAGTAAATATAGCTATCGACTCAAAGAAGTCCAGTTCGATAGGTGTGCGGATGCTGAAGCATCTGGAGAAGAGCACAAATGTACTTAATGCACCTTCGGTTTGGGCGAAAGGTAGGTTAACCTTCAGTTATTCGTCTCTGACGAGGACCGGCGAACCTCCGTGGTATGACGCAGTCGAGCAGATCGGGGACAGCTGTGATCGGGCTACATGTGACAGGCCTCAAGTAGACCGATGTGGGACGCTTTAGCCACACCCACCGAAATAGACTTGATCCCCAATGCCTCGTTGGTCTGACTATGAAGTCAAAGCTGTTGGGTGCGGTGCTTTCATCAAAGATCCATTTGACACACTGCTGTGTGGAACATAACGTTGAGCCAAAGAGAGCAGGAAGGGCATATAGAACATAACTAATGAAATCAATTTGTTGGGGAGCAACCACCCACACGATATCGCCGCCAGTAATCTTTTATCCCTATCGTTTCCCTACATTGTCATCAATTCTCTCCTGTTTGCCAACTAGAAACTGCTACCGACTTCATCAGCCAAGCTATGAGGGAAATCAGGTAATCATTCAAAATTAGCGTGCCGTTCAGCACCAAATGTTTAAATACCCGCACATTACCCCGGGTCGATCAACAGACGATGCACCGTAGAACCTTACATTCCCCGGCCCGTGGCCTAAACGATTACACGCCTGCCTTGTTATCTGAGATCGCGTGCTTTGGCCTGCCTAGGGGACCCGGTGACCCTAGCAGTATCCTTGGCCCACGAGCGGATGGCAGTGGGTGTGCGGCAGCGAAGCGTCGGTACTGCGTACTGGAGTACTGATGATGCCTTCTACCTTTTCCCTAATACGTGTATACTGTGTCTCGAAATATGTGTGTGGAACAACGGTGTCCAAACTCATCTGAGCTTACCAAACGCGTCTTCCAGTGGCTGGGCGCACATAACTCGCATCGTGATACAGAGTCAATGACGCGGCATCTGAGGTATGGGAGTCACTCTCAACAGACGGGCGGAAGCACTAATTCTAAAAAGGATCCCAGTGAACAGTAAAAAGGAATCCATAGTACGCCGGTACGCAGTATCAATGATTCGCTGACATGCAACCACCACCAGTCGCACGTGGACTAAGGATAATTCGAGGGTCGACCGGTCTCGTACACAGGCTCGAAGCCGCGACCTCCGAACTACAAGGCAGGCTTGTGATCCTTTCGGTCACGGGCAGCTCCAGCGGAGTCAACAAGCATCGGCTCGCTACCTGCTGACTCCCAGTAGCAACATCGAGCGCAGTCAAGAGGACAGGTTGGCTTGGGAATGCTGAGAATAGAAAACTATTTCGTAATGTGGTTAAATGAATGCAGATGTTAAAACCTTAGTATGACTATGATTACAAGCAACCGCATTTAGCTCAGTTCAGTTTAATAACTAAGATCCGGACACCGAAGTGCAGTGAATAAGGTCGTCGAGACTCACAACGTCAGAACAACAGGAAATAACAACAGCAGAAAAATGGAGATGAACGCAATGAAGATGGAACCAAAAAGAAGTATGTTAAACTAGCCGGGATGGAATAAAATTAATAGCTAGATACGAGAAACCTGATGTATGAACACTAGTGATTATGCCACGTTTGACAGTCTCCAACTACTCGTGTGGCACATCATGAGGCTCAAATCCACGAAAACGGTGCGTACCAGACTCATCATGTATGTCAGTAGATTTCTCCACTTTTTGTGTCACGCCATCGTCTGGCCATTTCGCGATTTCCCCCAACTTGGTGCAGCCATGGCGTATAAGGCACACCGAGGAAGCCGGTCAACGGCCCTACGGAGGACATGAACTAACCAACGCAAGCGACTGCGCCCAAACAAACGCTTGAATAAATCACCAGAAGGCCTATTGCTAAAATCAACTGCCGGACCTCAGTATTGCCAACTGGTGTACCAACTATGCGTGAGCAATACTCCGCAAGCACCGGGGGTTAAACACGGACAAGCGTTTGATGCCTTCACTACGAATTGCCCATGTTTCTGGTCCACACGGTAAGACCAGCCTTACCGCAGTACTATACACCTTATCTTTCACTGACAGTCTGATATCCCGCCGTCTCTATAAATGGTTGCGTGTTTGGAAAGCCACACTAGCCATGCTGATAGGTGAAGTAACTCCCCAGTGAAGTGACCACCAAAGGTGACTAGCGGTGAACCGATTAATCACTTAAAGTGGTTGTTCGGTTATAGATAGAACCGGTGCGTCGATCAAGTCCTGCAGCAGTACATTGCACCTTGAAGGTGCAATGAACACGCCGAATCGCGCGCTGTTACGTGCCAGTTCATTCAGTAGTGTTTGCATAGTCACTGTATCGAAACCAAAGAAAACTGTCGTCCGCATACTCAAGATTTGTCAACCGGTCATTTGGTAGTACTTCCACTCTGGTAGAGTTTGAAAGAAAAACTATGCAAGATCACTTCGACCACAGAGTTGAAAAGGAAATAATAAAGTAATTCTAACGAACCCAACGTGTAGTGGGAACTCAGGAGACAATTTATTGTAAAAACATAAAGGAAAACCATTGTTTTAGCAAGCAATCGATTATCTTGGATCGTGCATTGATTTCGAAGATTCCGGAACCCTCCATTCCTTCACGTGATCACCAGCATACAGAGTTTTGGCAGGGAGGCTACTAATTTTACCAACTGATCTTCGTTTTCTAGAAGCCGAAGGTCATTGAGCCCCTATATATTTGGCGTAGTGACACAGGGTTTTGGCGGCATTTTTGGCTACGTTGGCAGCGTTTTGGTTAACACGTTTTTCGTGGTCAAGATCGTTGGACTTTAGATTTTTCTACCGCTGGGCTAGAGTTTCTGCGGAGAAATTTTTGGGTGTTCAATTCGGTATAGCGAGAAAAAGTGAAGATCTAACAATGGCGACGGACAAGCCCGAAAATGTTACAAACTTTACCGCCGAACGTTATCAAAAGCTGCTTCGTCAGCAGCAATCGCAGATGGAAGCACAAATGAAACTGAATGAAAATTTGACGCAGTGCTTGAACGTACAGTCAAACGGAGCAGCTACACAGGACACGCAGGCTGCTTCACTTGATCTTACGAATGCAATCAATGAATTTTATTATGACGTTGACTACAAATGCACTTTCGAGGCGTGGTTCAAACATTGGGAGGACATGTTCCGGACGGATTTCGGCCGTCAAGATGATTAATGGAAAGTGCGTCTTTTGTTCCGCAAGCTCGGTACTAATGAACATATAAGATTCGTTGACCACATCCTGCCCAAAGAGCCGAAGGACATCACTTTCAACGAGGCAGTGACAACACTCAAAGAAATTTTTGGTGAGTCGACGTCTTTGTTTAGCATTCGCTACCAATGTCTAAAAATTGTTAAGCGTGATACAGACGATTATGGGGCACTAGCAGACATGGTTAACCGTGAATGTGAATGTTTCAAGTTGCGCTGTTTGACGGACGACCAGTTTAAGTGTCTCATATTTGTCAGTGCTTTACAGTCTCTACGCGACGCGGAAATTCGCACTCGGCTCCTTGCTAAGCTGGATCAAGATCC